CCACTTTGGCACCCTTGCATCTGGCTGTGTTGCCTTGGTACTTGTGTAACGAGCTGATCCAGGACAGGAATGGGGATAGATCCTGCACTGAGAGGGAATTGGCATCCCCTGAGCCACCACTGGCTGTTGGACCATGCTGAGGTGGCACTGGGGGGCAGATGATGGGGTGGATGGGTCCAGACTTCGAGCCTGACACAAACCACATCATTCCTGCCACTCTCTAACTCAGACAGGTGCCAGGAAGCCTCTCCCCAGAGATGGGAGGGGTGACCCAGCACCATGCTCACCCCATGGGGAGCAGTCCTGGCCCCTGTTCCCCCCTCTGGGATCTGGCTGTGTCTGTGAGACACCCTGACACTGCACCCACCAAGAGCATCCCAGAACAACATCACTGCACCCACCATGGACATCCCAGTCCCACATCACTGCACCCACCATGGACATCCCAGCCCCATAGCACTGTGCCCACGGCTATGGGGCACTCAGTCCCATAGCACTGTGCCCACTGTGGGCTCCCAGCCCCAGAGGCTCCTGTGAGGAAGAAGCAGCCACTGGACAGGATGTGGTGAGTAGCACAGGTAGGCAGGATGGGGACCACGTGTCACAGGTACACAGGACATGGAGCATGTAGCACAGACACTCAGCATGGGGACCGCATGGCACAACTGCATAGGACAGTGACAATATGGCACAGTCATAGAGGATGGGGTCCATACAGCCCAGCTGCATCCCTTAGGGGTGGTATGGCCAGAGGAGATGGGCTGTTTGTATGGCAGAGTGACACAGGGACCATACAGACACATACAATAGGGACTGTATGGCTCTATTACAGAGCACAGGGACTGTGTGCCACAGCTATGTTGGATGGGAATCATTCAGCACAGATAAATAGGACAGGGACCACAGAAACACACATTCAGGGTGGGGACCATGTGGCACAGCTGTGTAGGACTCAGCCCATACAGCACAGCCCTGCTAGGGCATGCATGGCACAGCCACATAGGGTGGAGACTGTTGGGGATGAATACAAAGGTCATGGATGCATGGCACTGCTACATAGGACACAGGTGACATTGCACAGCTATGTGGGATGAGGACCAGATGGCACAGCTGTGTGGTATAGGGACTATACATCACAGACAGGGAGGACAAGGCCTCTGTGGCACAACACCACAGGATGTGCCACACATATGGCACAGCTATAGGATGGGGACTGTACAAGAAAGTGACAGAGGACACAGACCTTACTGCACATCTACATAGGACAGGGACAGTGGCACAGCTATAGGATGGACACCCAGCCTCACCGTTACACAGGACACAGACCTTCCTGTACATCTACAAGGATGGAAACTGTATGGCACAACTACAGGGGACATGGCCCCCATGGCACAGCCTCACGGCACAGGGACCGTCTGGCACAGCCACCAGACAGGGCTGTGATATAAGAGAGTGGGCACCAAGCCTGGCAGCGGGGCCACCCCAGCACCACCCATGAGCAGTGACCCCTGAGGTGACCAGGAGGGACCAACCCAGCCAGGACACTCAGTGCTGCTGGCCCCAGCCTCTCTGGGTGGCTGCTGCCTCCCCAGTTCCCTTCCCCCTGCCAGCAGGCGCTGTCCCCGAGTCCCCCAGCTCCCTGTCCCCCAGCTCCCTGTCCCCCAGCTCCATCAGCACTGGGGTCCCTCCCTGAAATTCCCCCTGTGGCTTTGCAGGGATCTCAGCGTGGCTCCGACTGCTCCCGAGGTGTCTAAGCCCTCTGCTCCCATTTAGGCTTTAAGGGTTTTTCCCGTTTCTCACCCCCAGCTCCATCCCCACATTCCGTATGAAGTTTTAAGGGTTTTTTCCCATTTCTTTCCAGCTCCGGTCCCACATCCTATGTGAGGACATAAGGGTTTTCTCCCATTTCTCCTCCCCATCTCCTGGTCAACCCCTCCATACTCCGAGGTGATGGGGACCAAAGCCACCCCAGCTCCCCCGTGTGCCACCGTCTAGGTCAGGACTCAGCCACGGCGCCTTCAACACCTCCCACGCCCAGTGACGCAGCCGGGATTTCGGGGGTCCCAGGGAGCGGCAGGGCTGTGCTCGGCGTGTTCCGGGAATCGGGGTGGGTTCGTTCCTTCCCACACGGACGCTGCTCCCTAAAACCTCCTCTCCCGGGGGGTTCCCGGGGGTGCCAATCTGTGCCTGTGCGGGCACAGCCGGGACCCCTTTGGCCCCCGCTCCGGAGTCCCCGGTGGTCCCGCCGCGGCTGTCCCGTTCCCGGCGGTCCCGTCCCGCTGTCCCATCCCGCGGCTCTCATCCCCGGGCTCCGGTTGCCCGGTGCCCCCCGTCCCCACTCACCCGGGCGGCCGAGCAGCGCCAGGAGCAGCGGCAGGAGCGGGACGGAGCGGGGGCCCATGTCCGCCTGCGGCCGCTCCCCGGGAGCCAGCGCCGAGTGCGGGCGGCGGCAGCGGCAGGAAACCGACTCCCTTCGGAGGAGGGTCCGCGGCGGAGGAAATGCCGCTGGCGGCGCTGGGGCCGGGCCGGCGGGGCCGGGGGGGCGGAGAGGATGGACCCCCCCCTCCCCCGGAGGCGCCGTGCCTCAGTTTCCCTACAGCGCCGTGCGGGGCTGCGCCTCCGGACGGGGGCAGGAGGAAGGCACTGGTACCCAAGCTAGGTGCCTCCAGGGCCTCCCAGGGCTGGCACTAGTGAGTGGAGGGTTGGACACAGTGGTTCTGGTGAGGTCCACCCACCCAAATTATTCCCGAGCTGCCCCAGGCCATGGGGAAGGGGCTGCCCCCGACATTCAGCCCCCCCTGCTCCCGGTCAGCCCCCTGGCAGGGCCACCTTGGCTCAGGCTGGTGGCTGCCCCATGGATGCCCAGGCTGGCGGGCAGGTGGAGGCCCCCGAGCACAACTCCCTGCTTTGTCTGTACCCTCGGCCAGGCCACAGCTGGGGCTGCCCGGACACCCCCACCCGGCAGGTGGGCTTGGGGTCAGGAGATCCCCTGGGACAAGGGGGCCTGGGTGAGGGAGGCACGGGCAAGGGGGCCACGGCTGAGCACGGCCGAAGGGGCACCAGGGACCCCCTTGTGTACTCCTGCCCCATTCCTCCCCACACCTCTGCTGGCCGAGGTGAGAGCCCTCACGCAGCAATCAGTGGGGCTGGGACCCTCACGCCGGGGGTGGGCGCAGGTCCCTGGGGTGGGGTCGATTCATGGTTCAGGGGCATGGGGACAGAATGGAAACGTGCCAGGGAAGTCAGCGACGCCTGTCCTCAGAAGCCAGGCTGGCCCCGGAGATGTCTGTGACCGGGGTGAGCAGCAACCATGTCCCATGACAGAGCACTGCCATCTCCTGGGGACCGCGGGGACGGGTGCTCACCCGGGCATGGGGACGGGTATGGGGACCGGGACTCGGCACGGGATCCTCTGGGGCCCTCGCACTCCTCTCTCCGCGGTGACACCACAGGACAGCGACTAAGAGACCCTCGGTGATGGGCACTGGGACGGTGGCAGCCACAGTGTGACAGAAGGAGGGTGGCCGTGGCTGTGGGGGAGCCACATGTGCAGCCCCCTGCACCCATTTGGCCCAATATCTTCTCCCCTCGCAGCATAGGGGATGGCCTTGAGATTTCAAACCAGAGGAAAAGCATCTAAACATCAACACCAACACTCAGGGCTGTACTGGGGAGCAGAGCAGGGCTCCTGTCCCACTCCCTGCCCAGGGAACCACCTGGGGAAACTGAGGCACACTCACAGCACACCCACAGAGGGCTGGAACCACCAGAGAGATGTCTCTCCCCACTCCTCAATTTGAGGCCGTGCTGTCCCAAACCACACAACCCCTCTGCCTCCTTGTCCCACCAGCACGAGGCGGGCCCCAGCCCTGGATCGCTGTCCTGGCAGTGTCCCAGCCCGGCCGGATGGCTGCATCCTTCCTGCCCGCCTGCCTCCCCGCAGTGCCCCGCCTCTGCCAGCGGCCCGTGGCCCCGGAGCACGGGGCTGACGTCGGCCTGACTGGTGAGTTTGGGTTTTCGTCTTGGGGAGTTTTGTTTTTTCCCTGCTGGCTTCCTTTCTCCGCTCTGACTCCTTGGCCTCGTGGCCTTGGCTGACCCCAGCGCTGCCGCCCCTCCTGCCCTCCCAGCCCCCTGGCTCCGTGCCCAGCTCCCAGCAGCCCAAAAGTAAAGTGGTGGGGGGCCCTGCTGGGGTTGCAGCTCTGCTGCCTCCTGCCCTCACTGTGGCTGGGTAAACTCTGTCCCCAAGCTCCACTGCAGCCCCTCTGCTATGGCGTTGTGCCTGTGTGGTTCTGTGGGTGCTGGGGAGGCCCCACATCCCCTGTCCCCCACACCAGCACCCCCAAGTGCCTGTCTGTTGGGGTCTTGTGACTCACCACCAGTCCCCCAGCCAGGAGGACACTCAGCCTGGTGGCTGGGTTCACCTGGGTGTCCCCAGAGCATTCTCTATGCCCCAGGGTAAGGGCTGAGCTGTGAGTGTCCAGGCACAGCAGGACAGGGAACACCCCACTCCAGGGCATTGTGCCTCTACCAAGCACCACAGCACAGCCACCGCGTACCCCAAAAACCCCTGACAGCCAAGAGAAACAAGGAAATGCCAAGGCATGAAAGTGCTGGAAATCCCCATCCCAAATCCGGTCGCCTCCAGCCCCTGGCAGGCAGTGGGAGAGCTGGGAGGCATGTGCAGGACACACACCCAGACACCAGGGGGTTCAGCAATCGGGACAGAGCGAGGGAGGCCGGGACTGGCTGGAGGATGCCGGCGCAGGCTCCCTGCAGGCACGGATTGGGAAGCCGGGGCGAGCGGCCGGGATGCTCCCTCCCTTCCTCTGAGCGCAGCATCCCGCTGCCCCGGCGGGATAAACACCCGCTTCCTGCCCTTAATCAGCTCCAGAGGGGCTGGGGGGAGGACAGAGAGGCAGAAAAAAAAAAAAAAAAACAACCCAAAACCTCTGGAAAGAAAAACTCATTTCCTGCGACAGAAGAAAAAGATAAAGTCTGGATTCATTACAGTGAACTTTACTGGGGAGAGACGGGAAAGAGCCAAACACAATGTCCTTGAAATTTCCTCCGCACGGCTCCGTCCACGAAAACAGGATAAAGCCGCTTCCGCTGTCTCTGCTGGAGTGCACTGGGGGGAACTGGGGCCGGGGGCTGCTTACAGGCAGTCGAGGTGGGTGCAGACCTGCTGGAAAACCTCCTCCACAGAGCCCTCGGCGTTGAGCTGGGTACAGAGGGGACAGCTGGGGGATTTGCCCGAGGGCTCTCATCCGAGAGCAACTGGAACTCCCAAGGATGCATTTTGGCCATGGGTGAAGAGACCAGGGCTTGTTTAGGGCAAAGGGGTGCAGGCCATCCTTGGAGGGGGTCATGGGTCAGGCCCATCCCAAACTAGACAGGATTGAGTTTTCCTGCTTCCCTCATCATCCCCATCCACCCCTTCCCCTCCCCTGGGACACAAGCCCCAGGCTGTGGGGCTGGGGGTGCTGGCATCAGCCGCGTTCCCGCTTACCTGGCGGACAATGCCTCTGCTCTTGTAGAAGGCAATGACAGGCTCAGTGGCCTTGTAGTAGGTCTCCAAACGCTTCTTGATGGTCTCCTCATTGTCATCCACCCTCCCGCTGGTCTCTCCTCTCTTCAGCAGGCGTTTCACCATCGTGTCCTTCCCTGCATCCACGTAGAGCAGCAGCGTGGGGGGCGCGATCTGTGCACAGAGGGGACGTGGCTGTCACCACACTGAGTTGGTGTGGCTCTGGTTTGGTTTGGGGGGTGGTGGTGGTGGTCAGCATGAGGGTCACAAATGTCCCCACACCACCCTCTGCCTCCATCCACATGGGTCTGGGGGCCAGCAGGACACAGAGATGTCCCCACACCATCTCCTGCCTCCCACTGCTTTGGTCTGGGAGCCACCAGGACACTCTTCCACTGGCCTCTAGGGCCATGTAGAGGAAGGCAAAGGCACACTGCAGCCAAGCCCTGGCTCTCTGCCACCACCATCATGTCAGCACTGCTGTCACACTCTGTCAGCCTGAGGACACCCTGCTCCCTCCCGCTGTGCTCTGGGCACAGGCTGTCCCGAGGCAGGGGGACCTGCTGCCCAGTTTAGACCCTTCTGGGATGTGATCTCTGCTGGGATGGGGAGCCCAGGCTGCTGCTGGATTGAGTCCCTGTGCTAAGCTGTTTTGTGGCACGGCCCAGCACAGCACGGCACCAGTCCTCACCTTCTTCTCAAACTCCTCTCCCTGCTTCACCTCGCGGGGGTATCCATCGATCAGGAAGCCCTTGGACACATCTGCTTTGGCCACCATGGCATCCCTCAGCATGTCCAGCACCGTGTCCTGGAGGGGGAGGACAGAGCTGCTACAGCTGATATGGGACAACAGGACTCCCGCCCAGCATCCCTGGGTCCCTGCAGCAAACCCTGCCCTGGGATGGCAGGGCCAGAGATGCCTGAGCCGTGTGCTAACCATTACTGTGGTGGCCCCACTGCCACCCCTGCACACTCCATAATGTGACAGCTGGTGGCTGGTAGGGACTCACCAGGGGCACCAGCTCTCCCTTCTCCATGATGGCCTGCAGCTTCTTGCCCCGCTCCGAGCCTGAGCTGACCTCTGCCCGCAGCAGGTCCCCCGTGGACAGGTGGGTGTAGCCATACTTCTGCACGATCTTCTCACACTGTGTCCCTTTGCCCGAGCCAGGGCCACCTGCAAGGCACACGTGTGCCCCCAGCCATGGGTAAGGAGAGGGAGGGTACACAGGAGCAGCAGCACAGACACACACGAGCCCTCAGAGCTCAGTGACATGTCTGTTGGTGTCCCCAAGCCCAGCACCAAGGGGATGGACAGAGCTCCTCGTGGTTGCCCAAGTGCTTGGGGGTGACGTGGGCTGCTGGGAATTGGCATGTGGGCACCACACCCTGATGGCACCTAAGGTTTTGTCACATTACCTCCCAGGGATTTGTTGTCACATCAACCCCCAACTGGTTTACTGCTACATTACCCCAGATGCTGCCACCCCATGCGTGGCCAGAGATGCCCTCCTGGGGGCACCATACCCATGTGGACTCAAGGAGCCAAGCTGGAGCCATCCCACAGTGCCTGGGAATAGCCCAGTCTCAGCCTCCAGTCCTGTTTCCCCAGCCTAGAGGTACAGGGAAAAGGGCTGGGCTGACCCCACCAGTGACAGGATCCAGACACAGACTTACCCACCACAAAGATGATTTTGTGCTGCTTGAGCTTTTCTGGAAAAGAGAAAGAAAAAAAAAATTATCAAAAGCCAAAAGGTTCACCAGGGAGTGAGGTGTCCCCAGGGGGTGCCAGATCCAGGGCAGGCATCCCTGGGGATAGAGGGGCCCGATCCAGGAGAGTCCTGGGGGAAGATGGAGAGGGAAGCAGACGTGTGTCCTGGTCACCTGGGCAGGCTGGGATGTGTGGCCACGTCTGAGCACAAAGACCCCATGGCACCTCGGCCATGGGGCTGGAATTCCAGTGCCACGTGGTGTCCCAAAGGTGCTCATTGTCCACGGCTCCACTGCAGGCAGGGACTGGCCTCATCCATCCCCGTGGCCGGCTCCTCACCCCGCTGGGCTAACTGGGGCCATGGCAGCCTCGGCTGGCACGGCCACCTCGAGCACCTGGCACAACCCCGGCAGTCCCTGGACCCCAGCATCGGTGCCTGGACTTGGTGGCCGCTGTGCAAGTGGCACTGAGCGCCCCATCCCCTGCCCAGCACCCTGGCACAGGGCTCTCAGCACCTGTGGGGTCTGTGCACCAGCCGTGGTGTGGGGCGATGCCAGGGTGTGATGCCGAAGGGGGAAGCAGAGCTAAAAATAAAGTTGAGCTGCTCTGGGGCCACTTTCCCATCTCCTGATTACAGCTGGATGAAATTTCAACTCCTTGGCACCCAGCACTCCCCAGAACTGGGGATGGAGCCAAGAGTCTGGCAGGGACCAATGGGATGTGGGGCATGTGGGGGGGCTGGAGGGACATGGGGAATGGACAGAAGGGAGGGAGGCAAGGACACAGGGGCACGTGGAGGGGGGAAGGCAAAGAGGACCAGGGCTGCACATAATGGGGACAAATGCAGGGACAGAGGCAGGGAGGGAAGGGGAATGCAGAGGGGGTGGATACAGGGGGGCCAAGGGGATGGATGCAGGGGGGACCCAAGGGGTCGGATAAAAGGGGACAGGGGCATGCAGAGGGGATGGGTGCAGGGGGGACAAAGGGGATTAATTCTAGGGGGGGACTGATGCAGGGGGCAACCAAGGAAAAGGACACAAGGGAGACAGGGAGATGCAGAGGGAATGGATGCAGGGGACACTGAGGGGACAGATGCAGCTGGAATGCATGCAGGGAGATGGATCACTCACCTGTCGCCATGCTGATGGTTCAGGCACAGAAGCACTTAAGGCTGCCAGGAAAGAGAAGGATAAACAACTCAGCACATCAGGTCACCAAGAGTCTGGGGAGGAAAAGGGTCTCCCTTTTTGGCCATGATGGTGCCCAGCTTCAAGCCCAGACTGGGGGGATGGGAGAGAAGACACAACTCCTGGCTCGGCCCAGGAACAGGGAGCTGAGGGATCCCTGCTTCTGCGGCCATCACTCACCTGGCTCCCAGCAGTCACCCTCCGCATCCGGCTGCGGTAAGGGCATCCCCATGCCGGGTGACGCGTGGTGACGTTGCCGGCTTCCTCCCCTGCCCTGCCCACATCCCAGCCTGGGGTGCTGCCCGACAGCAGGAAACCCGCTTGGGATGCCCGGTGCCACCACAACACCGAGGGATGGAGGCAGCACCCCCAACTCCCCACGGGCTGGTTTTAGGGGGGTGTCCTAAGGAGGGGGGTGCAGCACCCCATGGCACCCCCAGGACCTGGAGGGTGTGTTTGGCCACCCCACCTGCCCACACCCAGCCCCGCAGCACCCGAGCTGCTTGGCCACGGTGCGTCACCCCGAACCGGCCGGACGGGGTGCAGGGAGGGGGCATCCCGCGGCCAGAGGAGCCCGCGGCCGCTGGCAGGTCGTGTTACAGCCTCGAAAGGGCAGGGGCTAAGAATGGCCGGGCTGAAACCGGCACCGGGTCACATCCCACCGGGTCACATCCCACCGGCGCTGCGGGGACAAAGTCCTGACATGTCCCCCAGGGGCTCTGGGGAGCGCGGGACCCCCGGCTCCCTGACTATGGGGGTGCTGAGCCCCAGGACAGCTGGCAGCAGTCCTGGTGGGGTGACGGGGGGCTGCGGGCCTCAGAGCGAGCTGCTGCCTGGTCCAGTGCGGTGCCACGGGTGCCGGTGAGGGCGGTGTGCAGGTGACCGGTCCGGAGGCGATGGGGGGCGCTGACCCGCTGGGGCCGGGGCTGGCGAGGGGGCTCAGGGTGGGAAGGGGGCTCAGGGTTCCCTTGTGCCTCCCCAGCCAAGGCCCTTGCGGGCTGCACCCGGGGGTGCCCCAGCGATCTCAGCTCCAAGCCACCCCTCCCATCCCATCCCATCAAACGGAAGGGGAATGCGCGCCGCAGCCCCTCCCGGGGACCGGCCCCGCACCGGGCTGCTCCAGCGCCGCTGCAGTGCCCCCGCCACCCCCGGCAAGCGCCAAGCCAAGCCCCCCGCGCTGCCCGGGCCCGCGGTGCCCACCCCGGCCCGAGGGTCCCGCACCGACCTGGCCCGGGGGTCCCGCACTGCCCTGGCCCGGGGGTCCCGCACCGACCTGGCCCCGCCGCCGCCGCCGCCCGGGCCCGCCGGTACCGCTATTTATAGAGCACGGCGGCGCGGGGCACGCCGGGAGCGCGCGGCACCGGCGGCGCGAGCGAGCGGCGCGGGGGCACCGGGAGGGACGGGCGGGGACACGGCGGGGACGGTCACGGCCGAGGCAGCGCCGCCCGCACGGGCAGCGCCGCGGGAGCGCGGTTAAACCCTCCCGGCTCGGGGGTGCGGGACCGCCCGCGAGGGGAGCCCCACCCGGCCCGGCCCGGGGTCTCCGGGGCGCCTCCGCCCCCAGCTCCTCGGACGGGAATACTTGTCGTGTCACTGTCCTCGTGTCGCCTCCCCTCTTCTGCCCCCATTCCCTTCTCATGTCCCCATCCCTATCCCCAGTGCCCATCCCTGTCCCTGATGTCCCCATCCTTGTCCCTAATACCCTCATGCTCCCATCCCATCCCTATGCCCCTCCCTAATGTCCCCATCAATCTCCATGTCCCCATTCCCATCCCTAGTGTCACCACCCTTGTCCCTAATGTCCTTATGTCCCCATTCCCATCCCTACTGTCACCACCCTTGTCCCTAATGTCCTTATGTCCCCATCCCTATATCCCCATGCCCCCACCCCAGCTCACACACCTCTCTCCCTCAGCTCCAGGGGTGTAAAACCCCGCGGGTGTTGTGTCCTTGTTAACATCTGCTCACTGAGAGATGCTGGATGCCAAAGCCAATAGTACAGGTTTTATTTAATGATAAAATGTGAGGTAGAGAAAGAAATAGAAAAGAGGGATTGTGGATGTGGGGTAGAGAGAGATCGGTGAAGCAGAAGATTGTCACCACCCGTGGGTCCCTCAGCATCCCACTGGTCCTTCCCCAACCTGGTGTTTGTGGTGGTGGGGGTCCCGAGGTTGTTGAAAACTTCTCACTATTTATACATTTTTGCAAATGAAGGCATTAATGCTCATTGGCTACACAGCTCCTTCATTCCATTGGTTAAATGATTCCCTCTCTTCTAATGCTAATTAATCCCATGCTCAGTCTCTCTTCCAGTCGAGTCCCTGTCAATCTCCCCGTCAGAATTACCTTCCACCCAGCTGGAGCTGATCCCATCCACCAGTTACCTGGCTGGCTTTCCTTGTGGATTCTTTGTGTCCTTTATCAGTGACACATTCTTCTCCCCCAGTTTTATTTACCACCCCTAATCTGAGATAATGCTCGGACGATAGCACCACCTTTATCTTATCTCAAATTCCTCTTACAATTCAGCAGGGGGAAGAGGAGCTTCGGTGGTTGCAGGTGCTGTCTATCCCATGAGCTGGGGTGATCTGTTTGACCAGTGACATGTGTATGAGCAGCTGCCCCTGCACAGCCCGTCTGGATGTGCCAGACCAGAGCCAGTGCCATGGTGCTGCTCCCTTCTGTGCTCATCTCTTGGCAAAGCCCTTCTGTGCCACCAGACTTTAGACAGGCAATGGTGATCTCCCAGTCCTGGCACTTACCTGCCCTTCCTCCTCCTCTGTGGCTGCAGAGACCCCATCCCAAGACCCTGTGACCCCAGGGCACCTGGCTGCGGGTGACACAAGCTGGGGGGGTCTCAGGTGTCACCTGTCACTGTCAGAGCTGGAGTCAGCCAGGGACTGGACATGAATCCTACCTGGACATGCTGGTCACCTGAGTGCCCAGGGACCGTATGGCTGGGGGTCACTGCCTTCATCCCCAAAAACCCATGTAGAGCCAGGGCTCAAGGTAACAGACTGCAGCAATATTTATTCCTGTACAAACAATTACAAAACATGGGTGCCCCGCTGCTTCCCCCAGCACTGAGCCCCCCAAAACCCCAGCCACAGCCAGAGGGAAACTGAGGAATGGATTCCTGCCAAGGCTCAGCACCCAAACACACCATCTTCAGGTGCTTTCCCCAGATCAACTTCTCTGCTGCTGAGAAATTAGTAACAAAGTCCTGTCCCAGCCACAGGGTGCCAAGAGGCACCACTTCCCCCCACTACCTGCCCACTTCTAAATTGTTTATGAGCAGCTGCTGGCTCTTTGTTTCCACTAATGAGCAGCCCCTGCTCACTCCTTCATCCAGGAAACCCCAGTAGAAACCCCAGGATTAGAAGCAGGAGAAAAAAAGCCAAAACCCCCTAAAAGCTCCCAAAAATCCCATCTTTCATTTAGAAAAGGTTTTGGCAGTGTGGGGTGCAGAGGTGCTGGGAGGGGCTGGCGTTTTTGAGGTGCTGGGACAGGGAGGGTGGTAATGTCACCCCTGTGGGGTCCCACCAGAAACTGTGGGGTTTTGCTGTGGGAAGGATGACTGAGGACTGGGATGAGGGGCTCGGGATGGCAGGGGGGGGCTGAGCTCCAAAAGGGGTCTCCTCATCCAAATGTTTAAGGGAAAGAGTCTCTGTGGTGACCCCAGAAGCTTTGCAAACCAAAACTGAGCCGAGGGGACCTGGAACCCCCTTACACCCTCACAGGGGCTACAATGTGCATGGACCAGGATGGGGCAGGATATCACCCCCAAGTATCCTGCACATGGAGGGGGGACACCCCAAGTTTTACATTCACCACCTGGTCCAAAACCCAGCTCAAAACCCAACACATCCCAGGTGCCAGGAGCCACCATGCACAACAGCAGTGGTCCTGTGGGAGGCAGCTGGGGGCACCTGATCCCACCACTGCCAGGGGGATGCAGGGGACCCCCCATCCATCCCAGGTGCCCAGCAGGCGTGGGGCAGCCCCTAGGTCCAGGTGGGGTGGGAGAAGGTGATGTTGTAGAGGCTGGCCCAGCTGGCAAAGACTCTCTTCTCCGTGATGAAGCGGTGGTGGTTGCCGCGGCGGCTCCGCTCGTTGTGGATGTAGGTTGTGCACTCGTCGGGGCCCTTGGGCTCGTAGTAGTGGTAGGGCAGGCGGCGGGGTGGGGGGTGGCGGCTGCAGGGGGCAGAGAAACACGGGGTGAGCCCTGTGGTGGGGTCAGGGAGCGCAGGGGGAGCCCTGAGGGTCTCCTCACCCGCAGTAGCTGGGTGGCACCATGCCATAGACGTGGATGGCGTCACACAGCTCCACCGCGATCACCATGGTGAACCAGCCAGTGCTGAGCCACGAGCGAGACTTCTCCCTGGGGAGGAAAAGCAACAGCAAGGATGACAGGGGTGAGGTGGTGTGGATAATGGACACCCTCAGTGTCCCCAGTGTGCCTCAGGGAGCCCCCCAGCTCAATGCTGCAGCCCATGAAGCAGCTCTGAGAGTCAGCTCTGTCTTGGGAGCCTGCAGAAAGGGGGGCACAGCACAGGAGGTGGCTCTGAGGTACCTGTCCTTCCCTGTCTCTCCCCGAAACAGGTCATCAAACTGCTTCATGCGGCTGGGGGAGACAACGTAGGCTGTCATGTTGGGGAACGAGGCGCAGACGCGCTGGATGATCTTCAGGAGGCTCTTCTGCATCTTGGTGGGCGGCCCCCAGAAGATGAACATCGTCTCTGGGGTCTTGTTGACGAACTCCTGGGGCCGCTTGAGGACACGGTAGAGGCTGGAGTGGGCCACCACACGGAAGCTGGTCTTATTGCCCACATCAGCACTGTAGCCCGTGGTGGGAGCATCGTTCATGCGGATGGTGCACTCAGCCCCGTCGATGGCCGTGCCCAGGTGGGTGCCCAGGAGGTGGCTGGAGCTGGTGACAATGACGCATTGGTGGCAGCGGGCAGTCAGGGTCTGGTGATGACAAGCGCCATCAGCAGGTGACTTCTGGTGTCACCGTGGGCAGGGCACTGTTCCCTGCGGAGCCGCTGTCCTCGGGAGGGGACAGTTGGGCAGGATGCCAGCAGAGGGACAGACCCTGTGTCACCACCTGGGCCCGGCCCTGCTGCCCAGCCCGTACCTTGTTCCCACAGACAGGCAGGTACCCGCTTTTCACCCCCCACTTCTTGAGGTCGGGGGGCCGGCGGGCTCTGCCCCGCAGGCGGCTGTAGGGGAACACCTCGCTCCCGTTGCCGGAGCTGTAGATGATCAGCAACATGATCAGGGCAAAGAGGACCCCCAGGGCGGCGGCGCGCTGGCTCTGCGGGCGGGGGGACAGCGTCAGCCGCTGCCCCCACCCACGGGGGTGCATCCACCCCTCTCCCAAGGCATCTCCAGCAGGATTGCCTGCTGTCCCCAGGAGGTCCCCGAGGTGATTCTCTGGCACTCACCGTGTTGCCACTCATGTCTCTGTGCCAGCCTCAGCACACAGCGATCGCCGGCGTCCCGTGAGCACCTGCAAGGCGTGTGGTCACCCCCAGCCTGGCCCACTGTCCCCATGCCAGGCTGGACAAGTCTCCACGTCCCCCTCTGAAGAGGAGAACAATCCCCCGGAATTTATGAGGGGGAAAGAAATGCTGTTGACAGAGGCTGGGCAGACTCCAGGGTGTGGAAGAGCCAAATCCAGCTGCAACTTGTGCCTGGGGAATCCCCACGTTAAGCTGGGTCCAGGGAGGATTATCCTCCCCTCGTGGGGATGAAACCACTCAAACCGCAGGGTTGGGGAGGGTCAACCTGCTGCTCGTGCAGTGAAATTCTATTAAAACCACCACCACAGGAGCCTTGGATCAGGAGGGAATGGAAGGAAGTGAGACCTGCTCCACTCAGTGCATGCATTGGATTGCATCCATCCAGCCCCGGGACCCACTCTAACTTCCACTCCAAGTGGACTGACCCAGTTTAGTTCTGGGAGCCCTGGTTAGTGAGCCCTAGCCATTCCTGGAGCGCTCCAAGCAAACGGAAATTAAAAACCACTGAAGCCTCTTTACTAATTGTCACACGGAAAATTATGCAACAGCTTGAGATCAACCCCTGGGGGGAGCTGACACCTCGAAACGCTCTCAGGGCCGCCGGTGGTGCCAGAAGGTACCAGCCTGCCCGGGGAGCCCAGGCCGCGGCCGGTGTGGTGACGCTGAGGGGCTTCGTTGTCCAAAGGCTGGGGACGCTGTGGGACCCCACTCCCGGACCCCACTTCGCTCCCTCCACAGCTCTCGGGCCATGTGGAGCCCCACGGAGGGGTCCCGGCGGCCTTACCTCACCTGCTGGGGGCTCTCATGGGGAGTCCGTCACCTCCTGCGCCCCGCGGGCGGCGGGCGCTGCCCGGCCCCTCCGGCGGGCTCGGCCATGCCCGGGACCGGGGCTCACATCGTCGCTCTGCGGGAAAAGGCTGCTTCAGAGCCGGCCCCCTCCTCCGCCGGGGGTCCCCCGGCCCCGGATGCGAACCCTCCCGCCCTCCGGGAAGGGAAAACCCCCCCGGCCCGGGGTGCGAACCTCCCGCCGCTCCTACGGGCGAGTCCTCCCCCGCCCCGGGGAGCATCCCCCACCCCCGGCGGGGGCCGCGGCGACACGGGAGGGAGCCGGACCCTTCCCGCCCCTCCATCCCCGGACCCTTCCTGCCCCTCCATCCCCTGTCACCGGCCCCGGGGGCAGGGGCCGCTTCCCCCCCGGCCGCGGCGCGTTCCGCCCCTGCACCGGCTGAACGGGCCCGGCGGGGACGCGCGAGCTCCACCGGCCGCTCCGGCCCGCAGTGCGCCCCGGTACCGCTGCCGATACCGGTACCGCTGCCGATGCTGATAGCGCTGCCGATGGCGGTGCCGTTACCGCGGCCGTTACTGATATCGCTGCCGCTGCTGATAGCGCTGCCGATCCCGACCGCACCGCTCCCGCCGCCCAGGCCGGGTCCTAGTGCCGCCCTCCCGGCATGGGCGAGCACCGCCGGGTCCTAGTGCCGCCCTCCCGGGATGGAGGAGCACCGCCGGGTCCTAGTGCCGCCCTCACGGGATGGAGACGCACCGCCGGGTCCTAGTGCCGCCCTCCCAGGATCGGGAGCGCCGCCGGGAAAGACCGGGACTGATTCCCCGGTCCCCGAGGGCACCGGTGCGGGCAGCGGGGATGGGGGGCAGCGCTGCCCGGCCGTGCCAGGAGCAGCCCGCCGTGCCTGCCCGCTGCCGGGCGCAGCGCATTGCTGGGATGCCGAGGTCTCACCCACACCGGCCCGGCAGCTCAGGGCCCCGCTCGGGGGTTTCGTGGCGCAGGGGGAGAGCTCCAGCTCTGGCAGGAACCGGCATCCCTGACGCGTGTCCAGAGCGATTCTGGCCCCGCTGTGCCGGTGATGCCTTGCCCTGCGCAGGGCTGTGGAAGCTGAGGTGGCAGGCATGAGCTCCATGGGCTCCTGTGCTGCACTGCCCTGCAGGAAGCAGCCCTGGCAGCACCCCCAGTTCCTGCACCACTCGCTCCTCAATGCTCCCCCTCTCATGTCTGCTCCTCTTCTTGCCCCTGGCCCCCAGACAGCACCGGAGCCACCCAAACGTGTGGCATCTGTTTACATGTTCAAAGGGCTGCCGTGGGCTCAGGGCCATGCACTGGCCCATGGCCTCTACCATCTCCCCAGGGACACGGGAGCTGCCAGTGCTCTGTGACAGCCCAGCAGCACTGAGCTCTGTGGGACTGAGGATCACCCCAGACCCAGCACCCATCCTGTGGAGATGCAGCTGCTGGTTTCCAAATAACCTCAACTGCTTTCAGCACCCTCTTCCATGTTTAGGCTCAGCTCTACCCCCTTGTCACCTCCTCATCTTATTTATAGCCTGGCAGCCTGTGATGAGGTGTTGAGTATCCCCCCTCCCTCACTCCCTGTCCTGTCCTGCAGCCACAAGGGGCACAGAAAGGGGCACCACAAGGGGCACTGCAAGGGGCACCACTGAATTAAAAACAATTTTAATGGCCACGTTTGCTTTGGTCTGAATCCAAGGACACTTGTGACAAGGCAATTCATAGCCCCTAGGGCACAGGTCGCTCCAGGGCTTCCAGCTGAGGGGCTGCAGGCACCAAGCAGCAGAAGGCAGAGCCTGGATCCAGCCTGCACCCCACACCCAGCACTGTCCAGAGGGTACAAGTGGGGCAAGAACCACAGCAGAGCTTCATACCTGTGAGAGGCACAGGTTTGTGGCCCTGGCAGGGCTGAGCATTTCTGCCCCATGTCCTGCTGGAGTCCAGCAGCACGTCTAATCCTGCATTAAATATTCCTCCTGGTAGAGAGAGCAGAAAACCAGGTCTCCCTGGCTCCATCCAGTTTGGAGCCAGTGGGGCTGCATGGGTCAGGCCCATGCCCCCCATGTACCAACAGGGGCTTCCCAGCCCATCCACCAGCTGGGAAACAGGCACTGCTACAGCAGAGATGGAGACTCCCTGCTCCAGGGCTTGGCAGAAGGTGTCCAGCCGTGCCACTGGCAGAGCTGAGACGTGTTGCTGCAGGATGAGAGCTGCCCTGCTGCCGAGGCTCCTGCTGGCTCACGCCGTGGCTGGCGCCCTACCTGCCTGTCCAGGATGAGTGGTTGAAGACAATGTTCCTCTTCTTGGCCCAGCGGGAGAAGATGGCTTTCTCAGTGATGAAGCGGTGCCCGGCACGCCGAGCTTGCTCGTGCATCAGGTACATCCTGCACTCGTCCAGCCGGCCCTTCTCAAAGTAATGGTACGGCACGCTGGAGTGGTTCTTTTCCCTGGCAGGAGGGCACAGGGTGAGTGTGGGACTTGGGGGGACACCAGACCACCCCACACCTGCCCCTGCCAGCCCCCCACACCTGCAGTAGCTGTCGCTGACCATGCCAAAAACACAGATCTGCTCGCACAGCTCCATGGCCAGGATCATGGTGAACCAGCCCGTGCTCAGGAAGGAGCCAGATTTCATCCTGCAAAGCATCGTGGTCACACTGGAGTGGGTGGCACCCCCTCGGGTGGTAATGCCACCACTATGGGTGCTTGATGGGGGATAGGTACATGAGGGTGACCTCATGAGACCTCCTGACCTCAGGAGCCAGCAGTACCTGTTCTTCCCTGTCTCATTCTGGAAGACATTGTCGCAGTATGTCATCTTCTCCTCAGTCAGGGTGTAGATCTGCAGCTGGGGGTACTTCTCCATCACCTTGACCAGTGCCTGGTAGGTTGAGCCCATCTTTTCCCTGTTCATCTTTTTTGCTGGCCCCCAGATGAAGTAAAGGGTCTCTTGGGACTGCTGGAAGAAGTAGGGCTGGTTCCTCAGCAGCAGCGGGACGCTGGTGTGTGACACCACCCGGATGGTGCTGCGTGTCCCCACGTCCTGCTCGTAGCCGGTGGTGGGGGCATGGTTCATGCGCAGGACACACTCCTGCCCGTCGATGGCCGCTCCCAGCTGCGAGCCCAGCATCTGCCCCGAGCTGGAGACGACGGCGCACTGGCGGCACAGCGCTCGCTCCAGCGGCTGTGGGGAAAGGCACCGTCAGCTCCTCCTTCCCTCCAGCTGGATACACCACAGCCCCTGCCCACCCTTCCCAAAGGACAGGGAAACCGAGGCACAGGTGGGCCGAGCTGTCCCAGCGCTGCTCCATCCCCACGCACCTTCCCGTCGGGAACGCGGCTGTAGCCCTGGAAGCTGCGGACGCCGGACGTGGCGGGGCTGCCCCGCAGCGCCGGGGCCGAGCAGCAGCGCTGCACACGGGTGTGGGAGCAGAGCAGGATGTACAGCACCGCCGTCACCGCCACGCACACCAGCGATAGGAAGAGCCGGACCTGGGAGCAGAGCGAGGGGAGCTCTCCGGGCCTGCCCACGTGCACCGGGCCCGTGCCGGCTGCCGGTGGCCCCGCGGCCATGGGGGAGCTGCCCCTCGGAGGGTGTTGAGGTGTGGGGGGGGAGCGGTGCGGGGTGCCGGGCCCGGCTCACTCCGTGCCCTACGGGCTCCGTGCCGCCCGCGGGCACCGGCAGCAGCCGGGCTCAGCCCCCCGGCCCCTCGCCCCCTGTCCCAGCGGGTACTCACCAGCGTCTTCATGCTCGGGGGCCTGGCGGATCCCCGGGCGGGCTCCGGGGGTCACCGGCAGGGTGGGGGCTCGCACCCTGCAAGCGGAGCGGGCTCAGCGGGATCGCCCCGGTCCCCAACGTCCGGGGGTCCCCTCCACGCCTCGTGCCGGGACCCCCCCGAGGCCATCACCGCGATCCCCCCCGCGCATTCCCATTCCCATTCCCATTCCCATTCTCATTCCCAGGGGTGCCCCACGTGTGCCGTTCCCCCTCCGTGTGCCGTTCCCCCTCCGTGTGCCGTTTCCCCTCCGTGCGCCGTTCCTCCCGTGCCCCTCGGGTGCCGCCCCGCCGGGCAGGGCTCGGGCCCGGGGGGTCTCCCCGGAGCGGCATCCCCGGTTCCCGGTGCCGGCCCCACTCACCGAGCCGGGATCCACCGGCGGCTCCTGCATCCCGCCCGGAGCGGGGCTGCCGGGCCGCGGCGGGGGCGGAGCCGAGCGGGCACTGCCGGAACCGGCACCGGGACCGCCCCCGCCCCGCCCCGCGACCCCGCTCCTCGGCGGCGCGCCCGCCCGTGCCCGCGGGCTCGTGCCCGGCGCAGCGGGACCGACCCCGGCACCCAGCTCGTGTGTCCCGGTACCGATCCCCGCCTCTCGCCCCACCGTGTGCCTCGGCAGCGACCCCAGGGCTCTTTCCCGCTCTCGCTCTGCCCTCTCGGGCTCCCGTCCCGCTCGGGGGTGCTGCAGCCTCCCTGTGGCCTGGGCTCTCTCACCTCCGCGCACCACGGGACACCACGAGGATCCGGGATGGCTCAGGAGTGGGATCAGGGCAGGTGAGGTAGCCCAGACCCCATCCAATGGCCCCAGGGGCTGCCCATCACCTGCAGCCCTACCTGACCGGGTCAGGCCACAGAACACCCATGGGAAGTGTCCCCAGAGCGAGCTGCCTGCTGGCCTGGGGGGGCATCGGATTTCTCCTACTGCAGATAAAGAAACATGAGATGTTACCTTGAAACCAACCTTCTCTTATTGTCCTGCACAGGCCTGGGACCACAGGGAAAGTGACAGGGACAGCACTGGGCTCCTGCACAGGAAGCGAGGCTGGAGAAGGAGGTCACACCGGCAGCTGCTCAGTTACCGTGGAATTCTCCACTCTTTGCTTCCTTCTGCCCAGCCCAAAACCAGCCCTGTGGGATGGGCTGAGCCCTGAACGCAGGTGAGCAGCAGGGAAGAGCAGCAAGAGGCTCGACAGCTCAGCATGGCCTGGCAGCTTCTGCAAGAGCTGGAAACAAACCCCCAGCCAGAGCCTCACCTCTGGACCCTCTGCTGGCTCCTGCAGCCAGGCTCAGCTGTGGCCCTCGGGGTGTCCCAAGCCACCAGCATCACCGTGGGACATGCTGCTGGCAGGAAGCTCACAGTACATGCAAGAAGCGTTGGAGTGCTCCAGATCTGCCCTCCCCAGGCAGGGGACAGCAGCCCCAGGCATGGCAGAACCAGCGTTTCTGGCCAGGTTGTCTCTGGTGCTTCCCTGCCTGACCTCACCAGCAGGATGCCATGCACTGCCAGGGCCATGCAGCTGAGCCCACCCTGGCAGGCTTGTGGCACCCCTTGGCATGGCAGAGGACAGGGAGAGAGACTTACAGACCTTTATTGAGGGTGATCCTGCTTGCCATGGTCCAGGGGAGCTGCCAGGAGAGGAACCCCCCAGGGAAAGGACAATGCCACCACAGCTGCCTGCTCAGCCCCAGCCTGGCTGGCACATGGGGCCCTGTCCAGGGCAGGAACCCAGCCAGGACTGAGAGCTGTGATGGGAACCACACCCAACACTTCCCCGTGATCCAGGACATCTCCTCACCACCCCCTCAGCTGGGTGGGACACAGAGGGCAGCGCTGTCCCTGCTCCCTCTGCACACCCAGCCTCATGGGAGTCCCTCTTCAGAAGGGCAAGAGCCCCCAGCACTGTGATTAGCCCTTCCAGAAGCAAATGAAGAAGGCAAACCTGTCCTTTCCAAGCCCAAAGTCTCATTTCTCTCCTTTCAGACGTGAATCAAAAAAACCCCACAAACCGTAGGTAAACTTTTAAATAAAATTCCCAGAAGGAACAAACTACTGGGCCGAGCCAGAGCTGAAGGGAAGGAGTGCCCAGAGTGGGCAGGGCAGCCCCAGCTGGGGAGCAGGTCCCTCAGCAGGGGCTCTGGTCCCTCACTTGATGAGCCTTGGATGAATCCTGCTTCTCTTTGGTCAGTGAATTGTAAACTACAGGTTTAGTCTCTGCAGGAGGGAACGTGGGAGCAGCTCAGTGCTGGGCACCTTGGAGATGTCTGCCTGGAGCTGCAGGAAAAATCTTTTCCTGGCTGTGATGCTGCAGCGTGGGCACTTCCTCATCTCCTCAGCTGGGCCTTCAGTCTGATTTCTTGGCGTGTTTCCCACTCTTCCACGTGACAAACATTATAAAAACACCTGCCGAGACAGACAGAACCAATTCAGGTAGGAAACTTTTAATTCCAGGCACTTCTACAACACCTGGCAATGAGAAACAGAATATCAACAGAGAGCAAGAAAATTCTGCTGTCCAGAGGCTCAAACAGCCAAAACCCACACACAAACACAGCCCCCGTGCCAGGCTAAGCTGCAACAGTAACCACAGAGAGTGCTGTGAGTGTCACACATTAACTAAACCCCTAGCAACCTTTTTCTCTCTTCCTAATTTAGAAGTTTCTAATTAGAAGCACAGAAACAACTCTCACCTATAAATAGCAGCAGCAGCAGCCCGGCTGTCATGGGGATGATAACTGCATATTCCCGAGGCAGGAAGAACTGGTGGATCCCATGGTCGCTGTCCATGAAGGGCTGCAGGGACACAGAGGGGGTCAGCAGGTGCCCACAACACCTCCAGTGCAGCCTCGAGGGTTTGGGACAAACATGGAAATGTCTGGTGTGAGATGGCTGAAAAAGGTGCCCAGACCTGCAGGTGGCTCGGCCACAGAGACAAGAGCAGGTGGGCAGGGAAGGTTTGGGGTTCAGGGGACAATGAGGGGGGGCTGTGGGGCTGGCACAGGGTCCCACAGCCCTGGAGGCTCGGGGTGGGCAGAGCTGCTGGTGCAGAACACAGCAAATCCCTGTGTCTGTCCCTCTGTCCTGCAGGAGGGAGCAGCTGGCACCAGCTCTGCTCCGTGGTTATCCCAGCAGGATCCCTGTGCAGAGGCTGTGGAAGGCTCTGGACACCAGGGAGCACTGGGAGGACTGGAATGCTCCTGCAGCTCTGGGAGCACTGGGAGGACTGGAATAATCCTGCAGCTCTGGGAGCACTGGGAGGACTGGAATAATCCTGCAGCTCTGGGAGCACTGTGAGGACTGGAATAATCCTGCAGCTCTGAGAGCACTGTGAGGACGGGAATGCTCCTGCAGCTCTGGGAGCACTGTGAGGACTGGAATGCTCCTGCAGCTCTGGGAGCACTGTGAGGACTGGAATGCTCCTGCAGTTCTGGGAGCACTGTGAGGACGGGAATGCTCCTGCAGCTCTGGGAATGCCGGGAGCACAGACACGGATCAGGCAGCAGAGTGAGCGATGCAAGAGGGGAATTCAAACCCCTTGGAGGTGGAGGGGAAGCTGGTGGGAGTTCAGATGTTAGTCCAAGGCTGAACCTGGCCTCTCATACCTGGAAAGCTCGTGAGGAGAAGTTTCTTTCCGGGGAGAAAATCACCAATGACCTCAGCTGACCTCAGATGGGCAGCCTCACTTTCCCAGAGCCCTGCATTCCCTAAACTCTTGTCCTCCCTACCAGATTTGTTAAGATTTGTCTCAATGTTTCCCTCTGTCATCTCCCACCAGAACCAGGAATCTGGGGGATGTGGACATTGATGACTACACCTCCATCAGGGCCAGGCTTCAGCTCTTCCCAATGGCTCATCCAGCCCTGGCTGGGTCAGCCTGGCTTGGAACAGCAGGTGGCCACCACAATCAATGTTTGGTCCTGCCCAGGCAAGGCCAGGGACACCCAGATGGGACAAGGACAGTGCCAGCACACAGAGGAAGATCTACCCTGACATTTTTAACCCAGAAGTCAAAAGTCCTTCAGGCACACAGACACATCATCACCCGGACAAAGGGCGGGGGAACACGTGAGTGTGGAGTGACTGGGCTTATATTGGCCAGAGGAGCCGCGTACCAGCACGATGATCCAGAGGGTGTAGTAAACAAAGAGGACGAGGCTGAAGGCGACCAAGCCAAACCCAACCAGCTGGTCCGTCGCTGTGGCCTGCAAAGGAGAGACAGAGCGGGATGGCCACGCCTGGGCCCGAGCGGCTCAGGGCTCCTGTGGCTGGGAGCGAGACCGGGGACAGGGGCACCACACCGGGGGCGGCCAGGCCGTGTCACCGGCAGCTCCCTGTCACACACACATTTTATGAAAAATCCTTTCCTTAGGATTTTTTCTCCTGAGAAGCTGAGAGGCCTCAGGAACAAAATGTAACCAATGGTTATCTGCTGCTGTGGAAGGCAACAGGTGCACCTGGGATTGGTCTCGTGTGGTTGTTTCCAATTAATGGCCAATCACAGTCCAGCTGTCCGGACTGTCTCGGTCAGTCACAAGCCTTTGTTATTCATTCCTTCTTTTTCTATTCTTAGCCAGCCTTCTGATGAAATCCTTTCTTCTATTCTTTTAGTATAGTTTTAATATATATCATAAAATAATAAATCAAGCCTTCTGAAACATGGAGTCAACATTCTCGTCTCTTCCCTTATCCCAAGACCCCTGCGAACACCATCACAGCTCCCTCAGCCGGCTCACGCACCGCATCTCAGGGGCCGCTCCCGGGAGACTGGGCCCAGTCTCTCCAGTCAGGGAGCCTGGCCAGGGCTCCGGGCCGCGATCCGGCCCAAGTCCCCCGTGACACCGGGCCGAGCAAGGGCCGGGACGAGCAGGGACCGACCCTCCCCTCCCCTCCGTCCCCGCCTCGGGGTCCCGCTCGCTCCGGGCCGGGCCCGCACTCACCATGGCGCCCGGCCTCCTCCCCGCCGGCCCCGCCTTTCCGGCACGACCGCCAATCAGGAAGCGGTGCGCCAGCCCCGCCCCCGGAGCGGCCAATCAGAGGTGGTGGGCGGGGCGTGCGAAGCCCCGCCCCGAGCTCCGTCACCTCCCGGAGCCACGAAACGGCCGGGAAAGAGCGGCGGGAACGGAACGGGAACGGGACCGGGACAGAGAGAGCGGCGGGAACGGAACGGGAACGGGACAGAGAGAGCGGCGGGAACGGAACGGGAACGGGACATAGAGAGCGGCGGGGACGAGCCGGGCTCGGGGCGGGAGAGGATGGACCGGGTGCGGGGCTGGCCCGTTCCCGTTCCGTTCCCGCCGCTCTCCCTGTCTCACCCACAGGCCTGCGATCCCTGTCACCGCTCCGCGCTCCTGCTGCTCCAGCGCCGTTGCCTTCACCTGCGGACGGGGCACTCTGGTTGCATCCAGCACCCGTCCCCGGGCCCTGGGGTGGTGATGGATCCTGACACCAGCCCCATCCATCCCGACATCCCACACGCTGCCGTTCCTCCAAACACACCCGGGGGCAGCGGGAGGAAAGGAACAAGCGAGACCAAACAGCCAAGGGACAGACACAAAAGAATCATAGAATCCTTTGCCTCCCCTTCCTGATACAAGGGAAAAGGGAAGAATTTGCTTGGGCCTCAAAGGTGCACTGACCTTTGTGTGGCCGAGGCTCTGGGAAGGTGGAAGAGGCAAAAGCTGCTCCTGCTCCCCTCCAGCCCTGTCAGCCATCAGTGACGAGTATCTGGGCACTGAATTTGGCCCACCCTCCATTAAGGGGGTGCTGAGCCTGGGGTGGGCAAGGGGCCCTGAGGATGCAGAGTTGCTTATTCCTTGTGCCCTGCTGGGCTGTGGGCCCAATCCCCCAGCGAGCCTGGTGAGGTAGGCCCAGCAGGAGAGGCAGTTCAGGCAGAGCCTAGGCTGGGACAGAGCAGAGGACGCTGCTGGCAACTCGGGCAGATGTCACCTTTTGCCAGGATTGCTGCTTCCATGGGACTGGTGCTGTGCTGCCAACTGCCCTTTCCATCTCCAGGGAAGGGCTGGCAGGGATCTCTGCTCTCAGCTGCCAGAGCAATCCAAGAGGGCAAAACCAAACTATTCCAGGCCCAAGCATGCCCCTCTCACCCCACAGCATTTAAAACAAGAAACAGACGAAGAAGAACCAGCGTGAAGTACCAAAAAAACCTTTATTTTTCCCCCAAACCATAACAACATTTGACATTATACTGATTTCCTCATATATTTGTTATTTCTCTACATTAGGAACCAGATACAGAAAATACAAACACGATCTGTTGAATCAAAGACGGCACAGCATTCCGTTAGAAAAAGAAACAAAGAAACTAGAGGAGCAAGATAGAAATGGTGAAAAATAGTCATTCCCTCCAGCCCAAACTTTCCAAGAATCATCATCAAAATAGAGCAGTGGAAGTAGCTTTTCTCTTTCTAAACGCACTTCTGCTTTAAGACAAAAGTTAGATTTATCTTTAGATTTTCAAAGTAAAAAAATGTTAAACTATCTTTCAAGCAATTTTGGAAGTTTGCATAGACCCATTCCCTTTCCAAAAATATCAGCCATCTCTCTATAGAATCTGATACAAATCGAGTGCGCCTCAGCCGAAGGTCACCAAGCTCAATTCACTTTCAAGAAAATAAAACACGATCTCCCCTTCCCCTCCCTCCCCCCACAAAAATATGGGCTCTACCATTATTCCATGTGTTTGAGGCAAGTTACCAGGCTCATCCCTCGCTCAGAGCTTCATCCCAAAATTCCTTTTCGTTTCCCAGGTTTCCACTCCTGCTGCTCTGCAGGCAGCGGGATCGGGGGGCGCAGGGTGGGGGCTGATGGACACAGCTCTCAGCAGGGAAGTGGGGGGAATTCTGCATTCACCAATCCCTCCCCGCAGCCAGGAAGTGGCTTTTCAAGGACAAACACCTGCAACCAGGCAGAGTTTGTAGGAACTTGTCCCTGGGGACTGGCCTTGTCCAAAGGGCTCGGTCACCAGAGCAAGAGCTCAGCTAGAGACCAGGTGGGGCAGCAGGGAGGGGCAGGAGGGGTGGAGGGGGGTCTGCAGCCCCCAGGTAAGGCAGCCAGCAGGGGAGGGGGAGCCCCTCACCAGGAGGGGTTTCACTGTGGTGCTCTAGCGTACCTGGAGTGAGGTTTTCCCAGAGGTTCCTGGCAGCAGTGCAGAGACCAGCTGCACTGCCACCCGCTTAAAAAGAAACAGCAATGACAAAATAAATAAAAAGTCAACCCCCTCCCATTCAGATGAGAATGAAATACTATTTCTTCAGGCCCCCACCTGGTTTGGAACCCTCTAAAAACTGAAGCAAACGTTTAAAAGGGCTTGTTAACCTTTCTGCAGGGGGCAAAGTGATGTGGCAATGAGGGGGGGAGAAATCACACGCCTGCTGCCCATCACTCCAAGGGTCAGAACAGCACGAGGCCCCCATTTAAAGTGCTGACCATACAAAAGATGATGATGAGGGAGCAACATCCTTCTCCTCCCTTTTCCCATCACAATTTCCAACTGAAATCCATCTCCTTCACCAAGTAACAACTAAGCCTATTCTTCTGGACACTCAGTTTTATATTGGTTTTAAAAAAAGAAAAGAAGTTAGTAAAAAAGTTACACTGAATTTCCTAACGCTTTGCAATGTGCTTCCACCAAAACTAAAGGTCTGGAAACCAGGAGCAGAGCCCACATGTTTTGCCTGAACCCAAGACTGAAGCAGAGAGCCAGCTCTGCTCTCCAGGGCCAGCCAGGCATGAGCAGCCCTGCTCGTCAGCATCAGAGACCCAGGGGATGCAGAGTCTTGCCAATAAAGTTCTTTTACTTGTTTAAGCCACCTCTGAATCCCCTGAGAAGGGGAACAATGTGGGGAAGAACATTCCCCCCCTAAGCCCCCCTGAAATAAAATATCAATGAAACAATAATGCAGTCAAAAAAACACCAGCCTGCTGGGTTTCTATTAAAAAAAAAATCCATAAACTTCACAACAAAAAAGAAAAACCCAAAGGAAACTAGCCAGCGGTTTGGGTCTGGAAACTGATTCACTTAAATGTTCAAAGTCCAACAAGGAGCAGGCAGCAGGGATGCCACAAGGAAAAAAGTGCTCGTGAGATGCAGCTTCCTGAGGCAGCAGTGGGACCAGGGACCCCACAGCCAGTGACCACCTCGGGTGCTGCCTAGGGACTGCTGGGCACTGCTTGTGCTGGATGCACAGCAGGAGCTCTGCTTCCTACAAACAGGAACAGACTGCTCCTTCCTCCCTCCACGTCTGCTCCAGGTCCCCCAGCTGTGCTGCACAAGGCTGCATGACCTGGACTACCTACTCAAAACCAGGGGCAGGAGAGCTAAAAAGCCACACAAAGATCAGAATCTGTGGAGGGACTAACGTGGAGATGAGGAGGAAATACCCTATGGGACACAGTTCTCAGAAATGCAAGCAGTGATGTGCCAAGCTACTGGAAGAGAAGCCAAAGACATGCCCAGCTTGGCCACAGTGATGTGATGGAGCAGGTTATGCCTCTGCCAGCCTGGGAAGAAGAGACCAGTGCTCTCAAAAGCTCAACTGCTTCTCCTCCTGCTTTGCTGGGAAGATATTCCTATTCCTCCCTCTGTCCCACTGATTTTGTGACATGCCGAGCTGCCAGTGCCTCAGAGCAGCCAACCCTGGCCAGTGGAGGCCAGGAGAATGCCCTGGGATCCCAACTGCTCTGACAGTGACTGCCATTGTTTCTCATGGGAACAGAAGCAAAGCAGCAAAATGAGCTGGGTTTTAGCCTCTTTCCTGGCTTATGCTTGCTCCTTTCAAGTCCTGGTTGGATCTGATTTCCTGAGGGGCTTTGTTGGCCCCTGGGGAGCAGCCAGAGCCTCAGAGCCTCGGCTCTGCAGGGCCATCCACAGAGAGGCAGAACATCCACAGAGAGGCAGAACAGCCCCTGCTGCCCTCACCCTGACCTGAGCACACGGTCAGGCCAGGCCTGGCTCTCTGGCACTGCCCCAGGGAGAGAGAAAGACAAACAGTTCTGTCCTTCCTGCAGACATGTGGCACCCAAGGAACAGGGCAGGATGCTCAGCAGCCTGCAAGCGAGTGCCAAACCTACCCAGGCTGAATGAAGAAGAGATCACCATTAAAAAAACCTAGCTAGTGTGAAAGAGCTTTTGTTCTAGACAGTCTCAAAAGATCCAACACTTTTCCCCTGCATTAAACCAAACCAAGGTGTTGTCTGTATCCCCTTTTTACCCTAATTCAAATTTAATTCCCTTTGAAGGGAAATGGTAGAAAAGATGCATATCCTATATGTGGTCTGTCCAAACACAGAATGAAGCCTCTTGACTCCAAGAGAGAAACCATCAAAACAGAGTAAGCAACTGTATAGTTTTACCACACTGCTGATCACCCTCCCCATGCAGCATCCTTAGCTAGAAGGGTAAAAAAAAAAAAGCTAAATCAAGGCCCTTTCATTCCTTGTTTCTCATTCTGCCAGATTCCCTTTTCCAGCAGCTCATCTGCATGCATTCTGGCCAAAGAGACCACAGTTAATGTTTGTTTTTTTTTTTTCTCCTTTAAAAGAGGCTTTACAATAACTATGAATTTGAACAATGTGATCAGTTACAAGTATTTCCTTGCTGAGCAGTGAGTGTGTGCCTGAACACACACCCACAAGTGCCAGAGGGGAGCCTGTGGAGAGGGCATGGCTGCTGAGTGCTGCCACAGAATACTGGCAAAAGAGGAATGGGCACCACACAGAAATAGCTTATCAGCTGAGGGGCTCTGTACAGGGAGGGCTGCAAGCACAGCCTGCTGCTGGCCCACAGCCCGGGGCTGCCCAGTCCTCTGGATTCTGGAAATTCAGCTGCCAGGAGCAATCTCCAAGTGGGAGCTGAAAGGGATGGACATCTCTGCCACACACTGCAAGGAAAAGTGTCAAACAACTGCAGAAACCAAACCCAAAGAAGAGCAATTGAAAGATAACCAGAGAACAGTTTGAAGCCTTGTCAGAAGAGTTCACTCACCACAGAGCAGGTCAGAACAGCTGCTGTGGCTAATGCAGCAGCAAACACCCCTTCTACCCTTGAAGGCAGAGACAGTAGCTTCTCCCCAGCCCCAAAAGGAACCAGCACAGGCACAGATCTCTGCTGACAAGATAAGAAAGGCCAAGCAACACCAAATCCCTTACTGGCCCAGGCCAAGAGAGGCAATTGACTTCACCACCTCAATAGAGAGACCACTGCAGTCAACTGCAACCAGCTCTGGCCCAGGGAAGGGCTGTCAGACAAGATTCTTTTCACAGTCCAAGAAGGGCAGTTCCCTTCCTGAGCCAATGAAACAAGGAAAAAAAAAAAAAAAGAAAAAAGAAAGAGGCTTTGTATTCCAAGCTCCAACAGGACTATTTGCTGAATCAGTCCAGCAAACACAGATTATACTCCTGGAATAGTGAGTAGAAGCCTCCTCCAGGTAAAATCTATAAGCTCTAAAGTGCTCCTGCTAATGCTAGTTGATGAACACCCCCTTCCATGCCCAGCAGTGGAAGGGCTGCTGCAGTCAGTGGTGTGATGAGCACTCACATTTAACCGTTCACCAACTCTCAGCTGGATTGCAGTAGAGTTTTCTGAAATGCACTTTTGGGAAGTATTTCCTATGAGAAGATGTTGTTTGAGGATGTGAGGATGGGAAGGTGAAGTGTACACCACAGCATACCTTGTTCAGTAAAACCATTGCCTTGGGAGGTGATGTTCTCTTGCAGAGTCAATGGAATAAAGCATCCTGCAAGTGGCCATGTCACCATGTCCCCAACAAGCAGCTCTGGGTTTGGTTAGAATGGTTTCCCCCACCCCCAGTGGTTTGAAGAGTTCACAGTGGTATTACCCAATGTTTTGGGGAGACAGAAACTGAGACGTCCCCTGCTGCAAGTGAATGGGTGGAATGAGGGATGCAGATGAGCAACATCCTCTGGGACTAGCCCAAGGAAAAGTCCCACAGACACCTTGTGTCTGAGCAGGAACAGGGGAAGGCATGCACTGGAAGGACCAGGAAGCAGAGAAGGACAATGCAATGCAGGGAAAGTGCATGTTCTGGAGTGGTCTCGGAGTAGTTCTGCAGTGCAAACATACGGGGAGGGGTGTGGAGAAATCCCTTCTGGAATGCTGCATGAAGAGAGGTAAAGGTTGGCATCCAGGTGGCAGCAGACTGGGTAGGGGGCCTGTGTCCAGCAGCTCTACCCTGTTCTTCACATTTAGTGGGTTTCAATCACCACTGGCTCGTAAACTCCAGATGAGACCCTGGGGAGGCAGAGGGGGAGAGAGGCTGGTTATTTTCCAGTCATTTTAGCAACCAAGTTGTGGTTCAGAGCTCTCCACTCTCAAACACCATCTTCTAAGCCCACTCAGAACACTGCCAGTTACAAGTCAGCCTTGTGGGAAGTCAGTCCTTGGAATACAGAGGGGACAAAGAGGTGGCAAGCCAGCAACAGAGCCCTGGAGAGAGCTGGGTGTGACACACAAACCCTTCTGTACAGGACACAGCAGAGGGGGAGTATCCCACCCACAACAAAGCCAGCCTGCCTGCCTTTGCTGTGCTCCCAGTTTTGTTCCCAGCTTGATACATCTTTGCATTACCATCACTGCTCTTTTTAATTCAATGAAAAGATGCAACAAAGCCTCAAACACAACTGGCCCAGAGCTGTCCTAAGAGATGTAGTGGCAAGAAAAAGTTTTACTGCTTCAGAAAGCGTTACTGAGAGAACAAGCCCTTGGTGGTTATGGAAGAGGCAGGAGAAGGGACAATAAGAGGCAGGGAGAAGGGACAATAAGAGGCAGGGAGAAGGGACAATAAGAGGCAGGGAGAAGGGACAATAAACGCTGCTCTGCTGCAGTTTTGCTGCAGGCCAGCAGGAGGCAAAGCTCCCTCCTTCAGGAACAAACGGGAACCAGCCTCTACCATTTTGTCCTTTCACTCCTCGCTTCTGTTCCTGGGTCTAGCAACCAGGATCCCATTATCCCTCTGAGCTCCTGCTGAGAACTGCACTCATACTCGAGTGCAGCTGCAGCCTGCCACCAAAGGGATCCCAGGGCTGTTAATGTGGGAATGAAGTCACCATGTAGCACATGATGTTTAGAAATCTCTCCTGTAGCAAAAAGTGGAAGTTTCCTAGGTACAGAGCCCACCAATCTCTCTGGGACCCCTCTGGCTGCCAGCTTTTTGGGAAGCCTACCTGTTTCCCAGCTGAATACCACTCAGAGTAGTTGTTCCGTCTCTGCTCACAAACAACCTCAGGTTACTGTCTGCAGATAGAAAAGGAAGACAGACATCAAAATCCAGAACTGCTGAGGCTGCCAGGAACTCCCCTCCCAGACACACAATCAGCACAGAACAAGTGTGTCTCAGCAGATGCATATCCACACTTTCTGGTGGTTTTCCCACAGTCATGGAGCCCCTGGGAACCCTTTCCTTGCTCCAAAGGGAAGCCTCCACAACATGCAGCTTTGGAAGAATAAAGGCAGAAATATTAATTCAGTCATACACCTCCAGCTGCCTCTTTTAAAGCAATTCCATTGATGCAAGTCCTTGGTCACCTTATACACACCTGAACAGATAAGATGTGGGGCCTCAAACTGCTTTGGTAGAGTCACTGGAGGAGAAACTCAGCCTGTTCTGCTGGGGAGAGGCAGCTGCATCCAGTCTGGTTCTAACCCACACTGAGTGAGGTATAACTCCCCACATGATAAGAGTGCTGCCATGTGCAACAATTTAAGGTGATTAATGGTAAATTAATGAAGCACAGATAACAAGCTAAGCTCAAGTCTAAAACTTAACAGAAAACCTCAGATAGAAAAAAAATCAGATTAGAGGTCAATTTCTATGCTGAAGTGGAAAATGAAACTGAAAACAAAAGCAGTTACATTATTAGTTTTCTCCTAACAGATGCTGTGAGTGCAATGGAGAAAACTGCTTCTTAAGCTCCCCAAGAGACCTGATCACCAGCACAGGGTAACCCATGTTTCTGTAGAGATGTGCTGCTTCCCTCCAGTTGTGCTCTCCTCTTTTGATAAATACCCTTGGCCTGACCCTGGACAAAGGCCACTGGAGCTGTGCAGACAGCTGATCTCCACTGCATTGAGAATCAGTGTTTTTCCTCTCTCCCTGCATGTTTGAGCTACTCTTCAATCTCTGCTGTCATGTGTGGAACAACAGCAAGTGCTATCTGTAAATACATGTGCAGCTCTCAAACCCACATGGTTTATCTACCACAGAAACACCCAGCAAGCACTGAAAGCAAACAGCTGTCAAAGGAGAAGAGAGCCCATGGCAGATGAGATCTGACTGTAAACACTTGGCAGCCCTGCAAAAGGAACAACCCAGACATCCCCTCTGAGGCTTCTCCTCTCACCTTCAGTATTGCTGACATCTGTGAAGTCCTGACTCTGCATTATTTTCTCCACTATATCATCAGCATCGATCCTGGTGTCATCCACTCGGGTTGGGTGACTCTCCATTGAATCCTTTTTCCTCCTGGCAAGAGGAAATCCAGGACAAACTTACTCAGCTTCTCAAGACACAGACATCTACATACTGCCCTGCATTTCTTGGCCACAGCCTCCTCCTCAGTGGCCACAATCTATTCCACTGGTGCCTGAAGACAAAGGAGCAGGTTCTGTCTTCTCCTTCTCAGAGAAAAGTCTCTGCTCCACTGTTACTCACCGGGAGGGTCTGTCCAGCAGCAGGGGTGGTCTGGGGGGCCGAGGAGGCTTCTCCAGCTTGTGCTCCCTCTCCCCCTCAGGGTACTCCACGGTCATGCTGAGCCCCCCGGAGGCGCTGCTGCTGGTGGACGTGTTGCGGCGGTGGGTCAGGTCGGACATGCTGGAGGAGCGCGAGTGCTCCGTGCTGTAACCTGCCAACACAGGGGCCACAGAGCTCAGCTGCTGCTGCTCCCACTCCTGGCAGCACAGACCACAGCCAGGGCAGCTCCACAGCAGCACTTCTGCTCCTGCACACAGAGGTTTAGACATCTGTGGGCTCATGGGCAGAGACTGAGCAGGAGGCTGGTATTACACAGCTGGGGTGAGAATTACAGAGCTGGTATTACAGAGAGAGATGGCTGCAAATCACTCTCACAGGGGCTTGCTGCAGGAAGGAAAAGGGAAAAAGGGATGGCAGAGCTGTGTGGATCAGTGGTTACCAGAGATCTTGGACTGCTGGCTGGCATAGCTCGAGTTCCGTGAGTGCCCTGAGTGGAAAACTTCCTCTGGGCTGGACAGGTTCTGATCTGACTCCTCTGGGACACCTGCCAAGGAAAAGAGGACACTGCTTACACCACAACCACTGATCACTGGGAGGGAAGACTGATCTTGGAATGACAGATCAAGGAAAGGGCAGTCTACTGGCCAGAGCCCTGTGTAAAGGCCAGCACAGGGCTCAGAAACACCCAGGGAGTAGGGAAGACCACAATGAACTCTGTCAAGTTTATCACTATTTCTATCCAACACGTGAATTCACAAACATCTCTGGGGGCTTGTAGCATCTAGAAGGACAAGCAGTGTCTGAAACTATCCACAGTTAAAAGCATCAAGCTAAGTAAGCATCACATGGCCACTGGCAGTAAAGTATTTCAACCTCTGTTTGGGTGCTTCTGTTACCACCTTTCCTTTTCTATTACTTCTGAGAGAGCCTGTACCACTTAAATAATCTCTGATTTTGATACAGACACTTCAGCATAACCCCTGCTCCTTTGCCCTGCTTGTCTCTCTTGCAGGAAGCTTATCCAGAAGTGCACAAATGTAACACATTAGCCAGCTTTTGAAGAACTCCACTTGCACCACGTGCTCTGTCAACTGAGGGGATGAGACTCCAGTGCTATTTTGGTGCAGTGTATCTGCCTGCACATTTGGAATGTGCTGGGAAGGAAAAAAACTGATGTGAAAATGCAGTGCCCTTGAAAACAGGCTCATACAGAAGGCAAAGAACTGCATCAGCAGCTGGAACAAGGCCACTAGACCTTAAACCAACCTCTAAAACCTTCAGAGGAACTTTTCTAGAAGATAAGTCTGAGCAACAGAATAGCTGAGTGCAGAACAATGGTAAGTATCATTGCACACAGTGAAAAGCAGGGATCAGTGCAGTTCATGAATTATTAAATCCCCAGCAAAAAGAACAAATTGCTTTATCTCCACCAACAGAAATATATGCACGTGGCAAATAGACAACCTTCCTCTCCTCAGTCACACTCAGATGGCTTTGTTATTCTCAATATTCTGAATGAGCAATGGGGGTTGAGGATGGGTGTGGGAAAACATGAAAGATTAAAGAGTTTCTGTGCTTGCAACTGCTGGGAAAAACAAAGGAGTGTCCAGGCAGAGGCAGGCATGGCATGGCTGCAGGGTGGGCATTCAGACCTGAGCTGAGGATGGCAGTTCTTGGCTTGGCCTGGCGCAGGGAGCCAATTGTGGAGGAGCTGCTGCTGCTGGTGGTTCCCTCGCCCTTGCAGGTCAGCTGCAGAGTGGAGTCCTGCCCCGGGATGGTGATGGACTTGGCAGTGGAAGGAGGCCTGGAATCAGAAGGGAAGGAGGTTACAGACTGCCAGGCAGGGAGCAGGCATCATGCTGTCCATCCCACCCTTGTCAGCAGGGGGAAGCTGGCAGCCCTCTGACCACCAGCTCAAATGGGATGTTGGGTTTTGTTTTCTCACATGCAAGACTGGTGTCATCCCTACCTGGCACTGCATTACAAGAAAAACCAAATTTTTGAGGTAAATTAAGGCAAAAAGGGGCCATTCATTCATTACACAGGCTCAGAACTTGCACTGTCCTCCAGGACACCATCCAGAGGTGCCCTTTCAGCCCCAGCATGTGTCCACTGCCCAGCTGGCTTCACAAACAGGAACCAGTTTGCTGCTATCCCACTCTCAAGTCCAGCTTCCTTTCTCTTACACCTCTTTGGCCAAAATGAAACCTTTTATCCCAGCAACCCTGTCCCCTTATGAGAGCACTTTTACAACAATCAAATAACCTTTCCCTTTTTTAACTGACTATTAAACTCCTTTTCAGTGAAACTAAAGTGTTTTTCCAGCTGTCAGAATTATTTTTCTGGTTATTCTGTGAGCCTGCAACATCCCTTTGTAAATGCTGACTGCAGGGCAGATCTGTGAGTGCCTGGAGCCCCCTCCCTTCCTCCAGAAGTGCTTTTGGGTGGAAGCCACAGCATGTGCAGCGTGGCAAAGTGAATATTCCTGTTGGAGCCCTAACCTCTCTGCAGCCTGAAGTCTGAACTGGAACTAAAGAATCATATTATGGATTTTAAGTGAGGAGTAAGAAATAAAATCTTTTGTCTCACTCAGAGCTCTGAAGGAAGATGTTACATGAGAGGGGATCTTTGCGGTATTTTGGAAGGCAGAATATTTAATGTGGGCAGCTGAATGGCTATAAAGCTTTCAGGAAACTCACAGCATGCCTTCACCAGGAAAAAAACCTCCCTAATCACCTTATCAGTGATTTGCATGCACCCAGGTGCTTTGGGGACTTGGCTTCACAGGTTTTGAAGGCTTTTACAACCTTAAGCAAGCAAACTGCTCCTGCAGCAGCTGTGGGAGCAGCCCCTTGGTCTGTCAGCTCAGCTGCTCTGCCCCTTTCAACAACCCCAGCAGGAGAAGGTTCATGGAGTGCTGCAGAAAATCAGTGCTTGGAAGTGATTTCCCAGCACAGTTTAATTCCTGCCTAACCCTCTAATGAGTGTCATTTACCAGAAGCTCTACTGATCAAGGACTATTCCACATGCAAAGTTTCTATTTTTAGATATTTGCACATCATCAACATAAAAGGGAAAAGTGGGAATGACTGCAAAAATCCTTCAAGAAAATTAGGTTTGACTTTCAGACTGAACCTACTTACATTAACTGGATATTTATATCCTATTCTGTGCAATTTTCAGGCATTCTAAGGGTGGGACTTGCTTCCATTGCAAAGGAGCAACAGGTATTTTTGTAAAATATTACTACCAGACATCCCAGTACCCTAGATTTAGAACATCTGTTACTGCTATAAAGTTATGGTTTAAGATACTCAAAACTTCTACATTACACTTTCTTCTGAAGCAGAAATTATTCAGGATCAGATGACACTGATGTTGGGTTCAAAAGTGTCAAAAAATACTGCAGCACTATGAAAAGCCACTCACAAAACAAACCTACCAAAAGTAATGCAGCATTTTAAAAAAGAATTTGAGCTAATTTATGCACTCCAAGCCAGCTCCTAAAATTAGATCTACAAGAATTGGCCTCAAGGTAAAGCTTTCTTCTCTCATTCTGTTGGGAGGCAACATGAAATATTCCTTTGGGCACATGGCAGCCCTGCTGTGCAGTCACACACCTTCCAGCACACCCAGCAGGGCTGGGACTGTGATGCTGCACTGTGGTGTGAGATCAGGATATTTATTGATTCACCAACAATTCTTTAAGCAGCAAAACTGCTCCCCAGCCTAACTGTACTTATTTTTTCCTATCATTATGCATTAAAAAAACCCCCACATTACGGCAATTTCTCTGCTAATTAATACAAATTGTGAGCCCTGTAGGAAAAAAAAATTAAAATGATTCAGCTTTGAAGTATTTTTGTTGCTGTTTCAATCTGAGATCTTTATCCCCCATGGTATGTGCTGAAGCGTGTCCACTTCCAAGACTGTTTTCTTTATTGACCTTTCTCCTCTTGGAGGTCAGTGAAACCAAGCCCAGAGCCATGAGAAATTCCATCCTTCAAGCAAAACATGAAGTTTGCAATCAAAATCTACTGGTTTCTAAAACCTAAGTTGCACCAGCAGGGAAAATACTGTGCACAGCAATAATCAGAGCTGGGAAAGCCAGAGCAGAGAACAAAACCAATTAACAGCACTGGCTGGCTGTGCTTTTCTGGTTGATTCAAGCAGTTTTACTGTACTTCCCAATATCAAGGGCATCTTTTCCCCTCCCTTCATCAATTTTAGTGTCTGCCCAGAACAGGGTACAGCCAAGAACTCACGTTTTGAAGCAGGGGTCCCCAGAGAGCAGGGACATTCCAATCGTGACCTGGAGAGGGGACACAAGGCACATCATCAGCCATGCTGCACTGAGCTCCTCACTTCACAACACCCAGGAGCTCAAGGGCTAGGTGTAAAGATCAGCCAGATCTAGCTCCTTTCCCAGGGAAATCAGCTTCAGGGATTTAGCAAAGTATTCCCCTCCCTGCCCCAAATCCCTGCATCAGTCACTCCAAGTGGCAGCAGCTCAGCAGGACACCAGCTGGGTCATGCTGACAGTGCCTTGTAACATTTCCCTCCCTCCTGCTCCTGGGTTTTTTTTGTCAAGGGTCACTGCTTGGCCAAATCAATGCCAAATTATCAAAGGGCAACTCTGATAATGGGAAGCTTCCCAAGTCAGTCTAGCAGCACAAAAGCAAAATCCTGTCTCTGTACATAACAGGACGTTCTGCCAGACTGGCACTGTGCTGTGATCTCCCCAAAGCCCTAAGCAGGGTTTCTGCTGTGTAGGTTCTAGCTGTTGTACCTTTAGGATGGAATTGTCCTGTCGGGTGTTCTTAGTATCATATCCTTCCAGCAAGCAGCAACGGACAGTGGATCCAGAGCCTGCAAATTCTGCCAGATTTAGATCAGCAAAGCCCAGCTGCAGCCAAGAAAACAATGGAGGGGAAGGTGAGAAAACAGACATTACTCCATAAAGGGATACACAGTGTCTCACAGACCAAAGGGAGAGAACAGGAGCCAGGACACAGAGTGGTGGCTGTGAAGATTCCCTGTTCTTGAGGATGGACAGGGTCACATTCCTAACCCCAAGCTAGATGGACACTTGGAGGCCTTCAGGAGGCCAAGCCCACATGGAGGAAGGGTGTACAGCAGTGCTGGTGGCCAGGACAGTGTTAACCAGCCTGCAGCCATTGCATAACCAAGGACATGCAAGGCACCAGGTCAACAATGTGGAAAAAACAGAATCACACATACACAAACATAATAAGGCACTCTTTGTATCGGACCATCCCAGAATGCAGTGGAGCATGTGAACCAGGAGATGAAAGGATATTGTTACAGGGGAAAGTGACACCATCCTGACAAAAACAACAGACTATGGGCACGGGGAGCTGGAGGCCCAGAGCCATGTGGCACTCACTGCCTGTGCCTCACCCCTCAGAGGCAGCTGCTGGGCTGGGCAGCTCCTCCTCAACCCTGCTCAGGTTTAACCAGCAAGGGGTTGGTTTGACACGCAGAAGGAAGAGAAATATTTGGAGAGATTTAGTTGTGAGCTCTCTAAACCTTCTCTAGCAAATGGGAAGCAAACAGGGAAGGTGACAAAGCTGAAGATCACACGCATTTTTTAAAAGGGCACCGATCCCTCCAGAGTAAATACACACACAATGAAGAGCACCTTTGTTTTCCTGCCCTAATCCCTGGTGTATTAACACAGTGTTTCAAAGAAAAAGTTACAGCTTGTTTTATGCACAGCTTTATGAACAGCAGGCAGTTGTGTCCCATCTCATCTGATCAGCAGGACATGCTGTACTCTGGATGTGGCCAAAGCATCCAGGCGTGGAGCATCTGCGTCACAGCAGCAGCAGCAGGGCAGCTCCCAGGGGAGCAGGGAACACAGGTGGAGCAGCAGCAGCAGGTCCTTCTGTCCTTCTGGGCTCTGCAGCACATCCCTTCTGCCCTGCTGCTGACAGCTGGATGACAGCTGAGCAGAGAGCCCCAACAGTAGCACCATCCTATGGAATTGTGGTGCCCCTGTCAGCTGAGGAAGCTGATGGAGAGTCCCAGCACAAAACAGTGACTGCCAGAGGAACCCTGGCTCCCACTGCTCCAAGTCAAGAATCACAGTCTGATCAAGATATATGATTGAGGGGGAAACAGCAGCAAGATTAATGTAGCTGCTTCCTTCATCCCATCGTCAAAGGGCAACTTCTGATGGCTAATGAACAAAAAAAAGTGGGATAGAGAGGGAACCTTTTATCAGGAAAAAAAAATAACCTTTCTTCGTCTCTTCTCACTTCTTAAGAATTCCTTTAATGCAAGTGTTTCTTCAGCCCTTGCTGCAGAAATTTCTCTGTCTCTTCTATGCTGTTTGCTAATTATTCACCAATAAGGAAAAAAAATTATCTCAGAGATAAACAGGACAGAGGAAAGCCACAGAGGGAGATGCAATCCATCACTGTGACAAAGACACAGCACCACCACACCAGGAGAACAGCATGGCACAGGGGTGGCCCAGACCCAGATCCCTCTTCCTCCAGCACAGCACTGAATTCTGAGAGGAGACCAACACTGGAGCAGAGAGTGTGGGAGAACCCTCCAGCAGCCCACAGTGTGCTGAGGTCAGAAGCTCTTTCAGGAAGCAGACTCCCAGTATATAGAGGAAAGATCCCTTAACAAAAGGATGTTTTCAGATATAACCTTCCAGAATCGTTTCCTCAGTTTTCCAGCCAGCTGATGGTGTTTCTCCCAGCTCAGGGAAAGAGTTTCTGCTTTATCAGTCCTTCCTGTCGCCTTCCGCCCTGTCACCCCTGACACTGAGGTGGCATTCACGTCAAACCCCAAGGTGTGCAAGGCACTGGAAACTGCCTGGAGCACAAACAGCCCCATCACCCTCACTCCCTGCTCATGGGCATGAGGTATGCCAGGTACAGAGGGCATTCACAAGTTTCATCTTCCTCTACATCTGCTGCTGTGACTGGAGGAGTTCTCAGCTGAATTAGGATAGTTTAAAAAGGTGGGGACTCGTGGTGTAAAATGAGAAAATAGCTGCATAGACATCCAGCACAGACTTCTGCTAGAAACATTAGGAAGTCCAAATCAGTTCTGTCATGAGAACCTGCCTAGAACAAGCCTGGTCCACTGGGCAAGACTGCAATCGCTCTTGTCTGGTGTGACATCGCTCATTTCTGAGCTGCTTCAGATCCTCTTCTCAGAGAACACATCTGTCTTTTTCACCAAGCAAGATACCAGCCTAAGAGACAACACGTACTTGAGATTTGGTCTCCAGCTCTGGGCTGGAGGAAGTCAGTCTCTGTTAAATGCCACTAAACACAACTGAAGACTGAGCAAAAAGGAAGTAGGTTAGAACATGACCTGAATAAGGTCTCCAGGTTAACTCCACCACAGAAACGTGCCTTCAGGCCTCCTTTAATTCTGCCTTCCCAAATCCTACAGAAAGCTTCAGGATGGACATTGCAGGAGGCAAAGGCTGATGCATTTGCTATACCTCTTCCTCCAGCTATGCTGCTCTCCCTGGACATGCAGCCCTGCAGAATGAATAACCTTCCCACAGTGTGAATTCAGTGAAAAAGAGACTGATAGCCCTAGAGACCACGTCCTAATCAGCAATGAAAAAGGAACGAAGCCATATTGCCTTCTCCCACCCAGCACAGCAGAACACAGGAGCTACTGCAGTAGACCTTTCACATCCAGTTGCCTCCATGGCCTCAGAAAGGATTTTGATGAGAAGGAATTCTTACATGGCTGTGTGTGACCAAAGCATCTGTTTGTTAGAAGCCAGCAGCAGTGACTCATTTTCAAACAAACATCATTTTGGGCACTGTGTGAGCTCAGCTTCTAAGCCAACATTGTCTCTTGATCCAGCACAAGGAGGAGAAGGGGGTGGCCCATTGTCTGTCCCACAGCACAGGCAAGAAAATGCAAGGAAGAGAAACCAAGACTAAGATCCCTGCTGATCCATTTGGCTTTTGCCTTGGTGTCTCCTGTGCTCTGGCAGGCAGTGATTTCTGCTGAAGGCTCCTGCCTGCTCTCCTGAGGCAGTGAGGTGCCTGCCCCAGCTGGCTGCCAGCTCTGCAGAACAGAATTGGAGCCTGTTTCTTTATTAGAGACATGCTGCCAGAAGCCAGAGAGTTCAGATCTGACTCAGAACTTCCCCAAAGTTTGAGGACATGCAGATCATCTCTCCAACCCCCATGTCAAATCCATATCCAGTGCAATCTGGATCCTGTCCCAGCAAGTCGAGTTTTTTGGGAAATCTCTTAACTCAGACTCAAACTAAGAACTAATGAACATCTCTCCAGATTGGTCCACTCAGCAGCCACTGGTTTCTAATGGGTGTAAAGCACAAGCAGGAGACAAGACCATCTTCACTCTGTTATATTTGCTCTTTCTATGCTCTTACCTTTGAGTAGGTTTTTCCGCCCTTCAGCTCCTATATTGGGAAACAAAACAAAACAGGAAAAGCAGCTATTATATGTGCTGGGGCAACAGGGGGAAAGTCATTACTCAGTCCTGGAATCTTCTCTCAGGATTCACAAGCCTCTCTCTCAAGGGTTACCACCACCTTGGTCATTCCCATCCTCCATCAAGGACTCTTCTCGGAGAGAGAGGCTCTGCTCCAGCATATCCTGTCCCAAACAATCTTTCCTTCCCACCACAGTCCACACAACTTTTCTTGCTGCCAAAAAGCAGCCAGTGACCAGCTGCCAGTACAGCACTGGTGGTGCTCCCTGCCAGAAGCAAAGCTGGGTGCTCACCTTGCGGACAGACACTCGGCAGATGCAGGGGTCCAGGAGCCCTGTGGCAGGGTTGGCACTCATTTTACACACAAAGGTGAATTTCTTTTTCCAGCGGACACAATTTTCCTGAACTTCCTCTCTGTGAGAATGGAAAAAAAAAAAAAAAAAATCAAATAAAGGTACAAAGCCAAATCAAGAGCAGCTATTAAGTATCTTTTTTAATGACTGGCATCCTAGCCCATAAAGATCCTCTGCAGCAGCTTGCTTCACCTGAAACTGAACCACACAAAGGTGTTAGGTTAGCATCAAACTTTTCACTAGTCAATACAGGTAAAATCCACCCAGGTTACAGAAATACTAATCATCTCATCAACAGAATTTGCCTTCAAAACTCTCCCAAGCTCTGACATTTCCTGCTCAGCCGGTTTAGCTCATTCTCTGTCCAGCCTGCATGGAGCAAATCTCCACACCTGAACTGGGCTGAAGGTTCACAAGCTTATCTCCCTCCAGCATGTCTGTTTGTACAGCCTCTGCACAGCAAAGTGCTCTGTGTCCTGGATGGCCTGTCCTTCCCTGCTCCTCGGGCTGGCACTAAGCCAGTGAGGATGGCCAGCTTAAAGGAGGACAAAAACACATGTGGAAATGCTCCTGGTGCAAGCAGACAGGGTCACACCAAGCAAACATTGCTCCAAATCCTGCAGGGGCTTAGCCAGGGGAGAGGTGGTTTTGCTTGCACAGCTTCTGAGCAGACCATCATGATCTCCAGGCTGAGTGGAGAACACATGGCTCTGGCACAGCCTGAGCCTGCAGGAAGAAGAGAAGAAGCATTCCTGAGTGCAGGAATCACTTCAGCTACAGCTCTGGCTTCCACACAGCCCTCAGGGGAAGCTGGATTTTACCTTTCCAAGGAAGCTGATTCAAAGGAACCTGGAAACAAGGTGTGTGGGTCCTTCCACAGGGCTCTAGTTTCCTTTCCTACTGAGCCTCTACAGGCTCAGAGCTTGGCCCTCAGCCAGTGCAGTTCTCAAAGTGATGAGGCCAGGGGAGGAAGGGAAGGCACTGCTGACAGCTGTGAGCAAGCAAGTCTGACTCTTATCTCTCCTCCTAGCACAGGACAAAGGTGCAAGGGCAGCTGATAAACTGTTTGCTTTAGCAGGGAAAGGGAGGCTTCCCACCATCTGAGCCAGGCCAAAGGGACTGGTGGCAAAGGGGAGAGTGATCAGCCTGGGTAGTGTCTCCACTCTTCCTGGGAAGGAAGGGGAAGAAGCTGGGGCTCACATTCCCTTAGGGCAACCTCGAGGTGAGCCCAAGGGGACAGAGCCAGGGACTCAATCCTGAGCCAGGAGGTCCCTGCTGGTCCTCCAAGATGTCCTGTGGGACCAAATGTGCCAAGCAAGGGAGACACAGAGAATAGAAAAGGAGTAACTGACAAAAACCTGAAACCTGTAATCCTCTGTAATGCAGATAAAGGCTGATCATCCCTGTTTAAAACAAGAGAAAACAGAAGGCAACAATTCCTTCAAGGTAGAGAACTTAAATCCCTTCCAGACAGAACTCAGGCTCACTACTGAAGTCAGTAAAAAGTGAGACATCTAAGTGCCAAAAATACCTTTGAATCGGGGATTATTAATTCAAGATGAGATCTGGTTCTCATTACTTCACTCAACTCACCCCAGCTCTCTCAGACAGGAGGAAGAAACACATCCAGAGGGATTAAAAAGGTTTTGTCTGTAATAAAATATTCACCATGCCAGCCAAATTAAGCATGCTACATTTCAAATATGGGTGCCTTAAACCTGCCTCAATAATAAGCATCTTAAATGGCCTAAAGGAAGAAAAAATTCAAGATACAGATGAGAAAAGGTATGCAACAGAATGGAAAACCACCTGTGAACACAAGGCAGGTACAGGGGGATGCAGGAAACACTGAATATTTTAGGAGCATTAGTCACCTTTGGAAAGGAACTGCTATTTTCTAGAAAGCAAAGCTAATGCTAAAGCTACCACTGACACCAGAGCTCCAAGGGATTGCTGGGAGGCAGCTACAAGTGAGAGCTGTTCAGTCAGCCAGCAGCACACTGGAGCACACCTTGCTCCCAGCCCTGACCAGACAAGAGCATTCATGGGATGCTCCCTCCAGCTCCCAGAGCCCATCCCTGGCTCCCAGAGCTGCAGGAGCCCCAGTGGGATCAAGAGCTGCTCCAGCATGTGAGTTGAGTTTCCTTACTCAGGAGTTCTTGCTCCTTTCTCAATGCAGCCATGATTAAGCATCTGCTGGATGCTGCTAAGTCCAATGAAGGCTAATTACTTCCAAACGTGGTAAAAAGTACTGATTAGCAATCCAGAGCTCCATAGCTAATTTGCCTTTAGCCTAAGCTCCTCTAACAGACATTCTGCTTCTTATTAAGGATGTACATTGGCTTTCCAGAACTGCTGTAGATACCACACAGTGCAGGGGATTAGGAAAAGGATTTGGGGGTGTTATGTTACCCACAGCACTGTGATCATGAACCTCAGCTGCAGGTGCACACACAGCTTAGGGGTTTTGTGCCTTTGGAACAGTCTGCACATGGCAAGAAGGAGTTTATAAGACAAAATCCAGAGCTGCTTTCCAGTCACAAGTTTCACAATCATTCAATAATGAATTTCAACCTTTTTTGGTTTTTTATTTTAAAGGGTGGGGGCTGGATCTGTGTCATTAGACAAACAAGCAACAGCTCTATTGTTTCAAACTGAACACTAAAAAATTAGTTCCACATTTCCAAAAGATGGCATGGTGGAGAAGAAATGGGCTTTGCCTACCCACCTCCCTTCAAGTTAGGCTGGTAATTAGAGAACACTAAAAAAGGGACAAAAAAAAAAAAAGGAGAACTCAGATGATGAGCAGTTTTGTATATAGCCCTGGAATATTCTCTGATGTACAATTATGAACCATCATACAGAAACAAAAAAAACACCCAAGAAGCATGGTGAGGGCTGCACTGAGGGAAATTTTCTTTCATCCTAATCACAAGGCAACTAAAAGTAAAGGAGAAATGAACAGCTTAAAACCAGAAGTGTCTAATTTTAAGTTTCGCTCTGTATTTGGAGAACCAGAAATAGTTCACACCAATGCCAGGTCTAGGTGCCAATTTAATGGATCTTCAGAAGTTTTATTTAAAAAAAGCTGTCTGTATCATTTTGCAAAAAAACTCCCAGAAGGTTGAATCCCTGCCAAACTAAGCTTTGCCCTCTTCTGACTTCAGACTTATTCAAAGCTGTGTAATTACTCTTTCCAGACCTAAATATACCTCCTCAGAATAAACCAGTGCAATCCTGTGGCAGCTTTTGTGAAAAGCAGAGTTCTGCAAAGAGCTTTGTGAGGTTTTCTAATCCTGGAGCTGCTCATCTACCTCCAGCTCAAGGAAGAGCTTTTTGCATCCCTCTTTCTACCTCTCAAGAGAAGATTCACCAGGAAAAGAGCAGCTGGAAGATGCTTCACCATAGCATGGTGAGAGTCAGGTGATGGGAATGATGCACAGCAGGGACCCACTGCCCTGCCTGATTTTGGAGAGGCAAACACTCAGGGAAGCCTCCAAGGCCACTCTGGGCTGAGATCTCACACACAGCTCTGGAGACAGGCAGAAAATATACAACAAACAGGCCTTAAAGAAGAGATGTTTCCCAGCTGTGGTGTGAGTGCCATGGACAGACCAGCACTCTGAATGGCTCCCTCTGAATTCAAGCTGGTAAAGCAAACAGTTCTAGAAAAAGGCCACATATTCAACCCATGCTATCTTGGGCTACACTGTGAACCTCTCTCCCACATGAAAACCCAGCTAATGAAACACTAGAGCAGAGATTAAAACTTCTATTTACAGACTCGGAGCTGAGCTGTGGGTATCAACCTTCCAACACACCACCCCCTGAAACACTTTTGCCTTGCTGAAGCATTTAGAAAAGCAGATGTTTCACTCCTGCTTTATGGCAGTTGTCACACATAAGACAGTGTCATAAAAAGGCCACAGCCTTACTGAAAGGGCTGCAGCAACAAAAAAATAGCTTTTAATGTCAAATGTTTCACTAGAGCAATGTGTCTCAGTCTGATGTTTCATGCATGGGGCAAATGTGGGGAAACCTCAGGCTAAATGGGGCAGTAGAGATAAGCACACACAAAGAGCTTCTTATTCAGATTTACTCCTCCTCCTTACACAGAGGGGAAGGGTAACCTTTCCTATTTCTGATGCTCAGTCCACATGCTCAGTGTCCCCCTTCTGAGATGTGGATCTGTGTCAGAGCCTTCAAGCAGAACTAATCCCCCTCTCAGCAGACCTACATCCTCCTCCCTGGTTCACCACTGCAGCAGGAGCAGCAGCATCTTATCTGATAAGGCACAGGAGAGATAATACCATTTTAAAGAGGCTGCCAAACCAACTCCCAGCTCAGATTCTTTTAAGTGCAGTGAAAAACAGCTCTTCAAGGGGCCCTGACACACACCAGCAGTGTGTCTTTCGGGGAGTAAGGGAACACAATCCCTGCAATGCAGGTACAATCCCCTCAGTCACAGAGAAACAAAATATCATGTTATTTCAGCAGATTGCACCTGAAAGGCATCTTCTACACCATTTCTTTACAGAGCTCTGCTTTCATCTGCAGAGACACAGTTAAAACAGTCCCATCTAATCCCCAGCCCTTCCAAAGGCTGAATTAGAGCAGAATCACTGACACTCCCATAGCTTGGAAAAGCCTAGAACAATCCTGCATTTTGCTCCAGAGAAGACAGTTACTATTTTAACTAGGTTATCTAGAGCAAAGCTGCAGGAGACACCTTTGCCAAGTGCAAGGAAAAATCCCTGAAAAGCGTGTTTTGAAATTGACTTTCTAGGATGTTCAGGAACCAGAACACCCCGTTGTTCACAGCACACCAAAATATATCCCATCCTACAAACACAGCAGGTCCTGCCACAAACAATGCCTAATCACTGCCTATAAAACACAGGAATTGCAAAAGTGGGTGAACATACATGTGTAATACAAAGCAAGCCCTCATTTAGCCATTAGCTGCTTTAGAGTTACAATCCAGAACCTGCAGCTATCTCCAAATAATGGGCTTAGGACAGGGCACTTCATGGCAGTACACACGTTATTAAAGAAAAACAC